CGTTTCGTTCAAATCTGTACAGTAGTTAAGGAGAAATGTCATGTTCACTGCAAATTTCAGCACGTATCGTCATATAACTCAGGAATGAAGGTGAAATTCCAAAAATGTTCACGAGCTAAACATCACCGTTAAGTCCTAATGAATGCGTGTATCAAGTTTTATCGAGCTACGTTCATTACTTCGGGAGATATTCCATGCTCGCCGAATTTGGGGAGACCGGCCGTAAAATTTGTCCGAGACGTCTCCATGGCGAGATCGCGCAAAACTGAGCAAACTACTCAGATAAGTCGGTACCGTGTGGACGCTCTATAAATTGCAACGATTTCATTCCGACTTGAAACTGCGCAGACAAATCGTTGTGAAAACTGAGCGTGTGGACCGGGCTTAATGCGGAAATTTTTGATGAACGGCGCGATCACAAATACTCATTTCACCGACGTCGAATGCTCTCAATGGCAAATGGTTTTCATTAGTCGAACGCCTCAGTTCTGACAAACATTTGTATTAATTGAGGCCGTAAGAATGATTAAATCCTTGGGTATTTCTGAGTACTCGATTACACTCCTCATCAATGTTTATTTCTAACTCATAATCCGCTGTTTTTCTTGTCTCTAAATACAACTAAACATACATTAAAAATAAGCATTGTAAATAAAAACATTTAAATTTAACGATTACCAACATGTAGAAAGTTAAAGGCACACAATACTATATAAGAAATTTTGCACGAATACATAAAATAATCCATATTTGTTTCAAAAGTGATGAACTAAGTTTGAAGATTAATTCTCGTATGTACAAGAATCGGCGACAGGCCACATCAGGCCTGCTCTTCAGCGCCGATAGCACTATGTTATGTTTATGTTACTAGAATTTGAAACAAGAACCAACACCAGGGGCCACGACTATAAACTAAAAAAACTGCGTTGCAACTTATCCACGCGACAACATTTCTTCTCGCTTCGAATCACCGACATGTGGAACAGCCTCCCCGATTACGTCGTTGGCGCTCAGAGTATGAACGCGTTCAAGAACAGACTAAATAAAGCTATGGAAAAATATATATTCAGATTTGAAATGCCTAGCACCATAACGAACCCGGTAGAAGTCTAGTAGCTATTTCAAACTATAGTCAGTCCTGAAAATATCCGGTCAAATGACACGATTTTAGATCTTCTGTGAACAAGGCACGAAAAGTAGGAATCGGCTACTGGCCACATCTGACCAACTCTTCAGCGCCGACATCGCTATGTTATGTTTTCAGTTGCTATTTCATCAATGATCAAGTGACCTAGTCTTGAGTGAGACGATGCGTTATTGTGTTCGGTTCGTTCACTGTATTTGCAATGAATTATTGGTTGTTAGGTCTTTAACTACAGTACCACTTATATCTCAACTTCATACAACCAAAAAATTCCTTACATTGCACTACAATTCATCTATTCTTAGGATAAAGCCTGAGCATAATAATAGTTTTAATTCATCACACTTAGTTTATTCCATATATATGTACGAAATGAATTCGCTCGTAATTACACATCTCTTTGTTAACGATAAACTGTAAATTGCATACAGCTATTATTGAAATTAAAATTCTTTGCTGAAGTCTAATCAATATTGTTAATTTATTACCATTGCGAATAAAATAATAGTAGACAACTTACAGGGGCCGGAAATAAGCGGTTTGCCCAGCCATTTAGTGGAATCTCATTTATAAATGTTTTTAAATATAATTCGCACATCAATTAAATTTCTAATTAGTTTGACTATTTCCATTTTTGCATGTAAATTGATAAATTTCATAACTTTAGAGTGCGCCAGTAATTTCTAAAAGCAATTCATTTGCGTCGATTTTATCGAGGTTGGCCACGTAAAAACGTCATTTTCTCTTGATGTTGTAGTGAAGAAAACTAACGCTTGTTCGACTGTTCATTTCTTCACGTGTGAATCCAGAGTTCCACAACACGTGAGACTGCAGGTGCAATGGTCAACGAGGAAGGCTTCGTACGTTAACTGCTGAGAGTGAAGATCAAAGCGATGGTGTTAGGTATGGTCTTAAAACTATATCGATCAATCGTCAGTTATGGAAATATCGGGTTCCAAAGGCCGGATCCCTTTTGAATCAAGGCACGAAAAGTATAATCGGCCACAGGCCATGGCCGGATGGCGCCACCTATTTCTTCAGTGCCGACACTTCTATTCTAAAATTAGAATTTATTGATAATTACTGATAAATTACCTATTAAGACTAGTTAGACTACAGAATATTCGAAAAATGACCTAATGTCTTACGGCTATGCCTATGAGTTTGCGTTGCCTTGTTTCGAGAAGTTCCTAGCTGGATTACTAGTATAGGTAGGTACTTACCATGGTTGAATTAATCGTGTGTATTAATTCAACCATGGGTACTTACTCTGTTACTCAACACTAGTAAACGTCATAGTGATGTGGCTTCACTATTACATAATTACTGTTTGTAAGAGCATTAAAATTAATAATTTTTCTCTTATAGAAGTAAATTCCGATGTGCGCATTAGTATTTATTAGAAACTTTTCAATATTCTCCCGTGGTTTAGCTATTCCGACGAATCTAAGCCTTGCATTTTTTAATTAACCCATCATACGTACGGTACGTCAAATCTTCCAGCCATTCAGCGATTGAGTTGTGTAACTTACTTGCACTTGCATGTAGCATGTTTTCGTTCGTGAGGACAGTGAGGTAGACCAATACCGTTATATTGACAGCTCCAATTTTTCTAACATTAGGATTGTCACTACCAATCATTTTAGGATTATCAGCGTAGACCGTAGAGGCCTAATCGTAATCGACATACTATATCCGAACTTGCCTTTTGTTCAGATTTTCACTTGTAGTCCATTATATTCAAATTTTTTTTTTGTTAAATATTAATTGGTAATGCTTTAGACATTTATCCTTTCTTTGCCTATTATTATTTACAGTAACACGTTTCTTATCTCTGAGGCCGTGTTATTTCAATAACTTACTTCAAACGTCTTAATGGAAACCTTGACCGATGAAAAACACTTCGATCTTCAAATGAGTTTAAGAAAACGCATGCAATTCTATATTTTAATCGAAAACAATCAACCGCAAGCCAGGGTGAAAAAAAACGAGAGCTTACCCAGCTGTCGTCAATGCCTAACTTGGTGGCCGAAACCTACTACTACTAATACCGAACTAAACTACACTACGCGTACGCGAGGATTTTTCAAAAGATACAATTACTTTTTTCCTTTAAGCAGGTTTAATTGACAACTAGAGAACAGAATTTTCGTGATTTTGTAATTATTTCTAAACAAATTCTGATTTTTCAGAAACCTATTTACAATATTTTATACTTATTTCAAATCAAATTTCATCACTCGATGCGTCTTGCAACTTGATACTGAATAATTGATACATTCGAAACGTTAACGAACTAAAAATGTGCATTGATACCCTGATTTTCAATTTACAAGTACAAGAGAAAAATATTGTTCCATACATTGAATAAATAAAAGAAAATTATCAATAAAACAAATTCTCTGGTTTTCAAGAAACCTGCTTAATTAAAGGAGCAAATTCTGCCAACCTATACTAATTACTTTTGTGGCCACAAACGATATTTATCTTCACGAAAATATTTACTACCAAACACTAGATTATCTGCCAATAATTTATAACTTTAATCTCCACAAGCCACCCTCTTGGCTCGAACTGAACATCATTTAACTCATATGGTTTAAGTTGCACTAATTGCTGCGCATTGAATGAAATATAATGTTGTAGCAGCTAATATGTAGTACCTAGGTATTTTTGATCGACGAGATTCTATAGTATTTCATAGTCGAGTGCAAACAAAAAAGTTTGTGATAATCTTGACCACGAGCAATGGTATGATACTTTGCCTGTAGAAAAGTACAATACGAGAAGATTTATTCAAGGAAATCATAACGTGAAACTAGGGTATGATGATTCCTTATTCACGCTTTTAGGCTGAAACAGCTGAGCTAAATAATATTCAAGATTAATCATTAATTACTTTTCAAATTTCTGGACTTATAACTTGCGCCATCGAGAATTTAAAGTAGGTACTCGTATATGTCTCGGTTGAATTTCGCTGATGTTCATCTTTCTGATAACATCTTAATTTTATGTTTCACGATTTTTACGAGAGTAATTTTTTACTTTCCGAATGTTTACCATAGCTCAGCAGGATTACCGTGACTTCTCAGCCAATCAGTTAGCTTTTCCAATTACTTTTTTGCCGGTTTAATCTTCTCTGAGCCGCAAGTTTTAGTTTTCCTTTTTAAAGCGTGGATAATTCCTGCGCTACCTGTGTGCTTTACCTAAGATCCAAGCTGAAGATATAAGGTGGTGCGTTGGGAACGAGCCATATTTTTTATTCTATTTCTCAAGCTTACGTTGTTTTCTTCTCTTAATCGTGATTAGAAAAGTGTTTAGTAATTTTTACTTGCGATAGCTTTCCGACGGTACCATCTGTCGTCAATCAAAACCTAATTTGATAAAGATTGTTCCAATATTTTCCCATATCTTATCCCGTCCGGCATCGATCATTATCGTCCTTTCGACATGCATTCGTTTTTTTGTATCTTAAACCAAAGTGACCTCTGGAGGCAATAGCAGAATTCTGACTCAGTTCCAAGCTTGTAGTCTCAGTATTGTGCCGAAAACCTTGGAGTTTACATCAAGCCTCTCTTCCGGACTTTTCGTTAAAAGTTCTCCTGGTGTTGAAGCTCCATATTCCGTTGAAAATCAACTGTTTTGACACCCTTGCAGTTTAGCCCAGTGCATCGCCATAAAATTGCAATTAATATTGACATCATTTTAAGTTGCGAGGAAAAATAAAGCAGTGCATTCAACTAGTATCGAATCTTCGAAAATCAATTCATAAATATTATCTTATACAATCACAAATTGGACGCTAATTACGCTACTTTTCCTCATAAATATCTCGAAAAATTTTATTTCGAAGACTTCTAAAAATGGAAGTAATCTCAATAATTATATTGAGTTGTGTTTCTATTGCCGTGTTCGGCGTTCTTGTGGCATTCTTCGGCTGCTGTTGCACGGCATTGGAGAACTACAAGAAATCGGTAAGAATTTCTTCTTTTTTTTAATATAAACGGGAATTTTGGGCCAATTTTTAAGGAAAAAATCTAATCAAACCGTGCTTTCCAAAAAGGGCGTAGGTTCTTTGTTTCGTGTACTAAATAAATCCGTTCACCATCTTCGTTCTTTTTATGGAAATATGTATAGAATTATATGCGTAAATTTTCAATTCTAGTTTCTACCCACTGCATTTCGTTATCACATTCTTTGAATTATAAATCGAACCATCAATTCAATTCGACGAAATTTCTTCAAAAGTGATATTTTGATTATTTGAATTTTGCTAATGAACATTATTAGTTAGCCATAACCGTACGATTGCAGAAGGGAAAATTAAAATTCGCCTGAACATTCCATGTGCCATTCCACGATCACCAGTAAAATCTTTAGAATATTTGAAGTCGATGACAAGCTTTAGGGTTTCCATTTCTAGTAAGTCTAGTTTTTTTTCAAGTAAACCATTTCTCACCGAAATAAACCCCATATAGCGACACTCGATTTATGTACGTGGGGCCAGACAATCAGAACTCACATGCAGTGGGAGATTTCTTTCCTCTCATTGGCCTGCTCACCAATATTACATGATAAATATTTTGATTTTTCTTGTATTTTTTAGGATTTTACATTTTGTTATTGTGATTTATTAAGTGTGGACTGTTTTAAACTAACTTGATTCCTCTCTTTTATTATGAAATACGAAAGATTTCATGCGATCACTGTTTTATTAAAAATTTCTGTCCTCAGAAAGAAGATTATTGAATCTCCTCAGCACTTTACTCAATTTGCATGAATGTCCGACAACAAAACTTGTCAAATAGACGTACACGTGACAAGAGAGCTCATGCATGCGCGGAATCTATGTATGAATATATTTTATTACATTAAATTGATTATTAATTCTACGTTCAACAAGGGTTTTTAAAATGCTTGTAAGAGGTATAGTGCCGAGTTTAAAATTAAAGGTTGTTAGATCCTATGAGTCGGAGTTCGAAATCTGTGTCTTGTATAAAACGAACTGAATACCGTATCCGTAATTAATACAGTGGGGGGAAATAAATATTCGTACACTTGAAAAATCGTATTTTAATGTATGTAAGTACACAAACTTAACAGGAAAAGTGATTTAAATTATGTATAGAGACGCATCCCGAAAAGTGAACATGTTGCATTGTTTTTTGTTGCATTGAGATTTGATTTCTTTTGATAGTATTTTTGAATACTATGCGTCTCTATACATAATTCGAATCACTTTTCCTGTTAAGTTTGTGTACTTACATACATTAAAATACGATTTTTCAAGTGTACGAATATTTATTTCCCCCCACTGTATATGAACTAAGCTATCGAAGCTCACATGGAGGCGTTATGTTCAACCTAAAAACTTGAAATATGTGAGACTAATTAGTGCTCTCTTCGCGCGTCGTTTTTGCTTCTTTCACGCACGCATCATTACGCTTCCTTTTTCGATAAATATATAGGGATCAGATAACTCGTTAATTTGTATGACTCAAATGATATATCAAATCATGTTCGGCCATGTAGTTATCCGTGAATCAATATCCATCAACTCTTTATTTTTCAGCGAAGTTGCACCTGGAAACTTTTCCAGCAATCTAGTCTACGAATTTACCATTTTTTCTTGTTTCATTCCAGGCGAAGACGATTGATGAAACTACCCTGCCCCTCTACGTTACCAACACGGTGGAACCTAAAGCAGACAAGGAGAGCTTTCAGACTAACCTTCTTCCTATCCACGTTGTCCTGAGTAACAATGAATTATTGTCTGATAAATCAGCACACGGGACGATTGGGCAACAGAATGCCCTGAAGAATGAGGCCAATCGGCCAAAAACTAGACAAAAATCTGGAAAGAAATTGATCCCTGGGTCTGCATTGGCTTCTAAAACATCGAGTAATGGGGCCGCCGAATTAAACTGAAGAAGTAAAGTCTAATTAAGTGATTTGGCTGATGGGAGCAATGAATTGACATGCGCGTTAATTCACACATTGTTCCTCATTAGGCTTATATGATTAATAGTAATCATTGTTACTTGTAAATAATTAATTCCGATTTTAGTGTTCTGTTACATATTGTTTTGTGTAAATAACTTAATCGTCGCAATTTTCATATATGTTAAATATATTTGTAAATATAACACACGATCGTTGTGTGAGAATAGATCGCAGTAAAATAATAGCGTGCTCGCGCGTAATAAATAGTTAAATTACGTGAGTAGACTCCTTCAATGTTGTGTTTTACACGAATTAATGTTTTGGAGACTCAATTCTAAATTATTATATTTTGTAGTAAAGTGTTTCACCACTAATGCAGGCCTTTATTTTAATTAACTATTTAAACAACTCGGACTGACAAGCCATTAACAGGGTGGCCCAGTGGTTAAAGGCAGGGTGGCCCAGTGGTAAACGTTCAGAGTACCAAGATTGGCGCAGAGGCGCGGGTTCGATCCCAGCTCTGTGCGCCAGTTTCTGGTCAGAATCGGCAAGGAGGCCGGACGGTGAAGCAAAGCAAAAATTGAAACAGTGAGTTGCGAAGTTCGAGCCCGCAACAAGCTGTAGATGTTCTGCGATGTTAAGAATCGGCGACAGGCCTACGGCCTAATAAACGCTGAAGCCGCTATATAAGCCGCTATGCTGACTTTGAATGGGCGATAAGATTTATGTGAACGTGTGAATTAAGTGGTTTTATAAATATATTTGTCAATTTTGAAATGAAAATTTTCAGCACTATCCAGAATGTATAGTGTCCCTTTGTACTGAATATATGCTTTTCATCAAGTGAGTAGCTGATGCACGTACGTCAATCCCAAGCCGAGATTGATTTTTCACGCCAGTAGAATGGCTTTCAAAAATCTTCAATCATTTGGAATGTGACGATGAATTCTGCTCTCAAATTCAGTTGTTTGGAACGTTTATTTAACCAACTTATTTCCATTATTGCCAAAAGTAAAGGGCTCCCAATAACGATTGCTAAACTGAACAACGAATCTTATTCTTTGAGAAGCATTGTTTTACATATGCGATAATTCGTCCACGTTATTGAGACAAATTATAAACGTATGTCCAGTCTTCTCTTGAACTTGTTTTTTATGCTTTGCGTTCTTTCTCAATTACTATTTTCGTTTACTCCTTTATTTATATTCTTTGTTGTATTTTATTTAACGATCGTGACGCATTATATTTTTGTCATCTATCACTTCTTTAATTAACGCCAAGAAAGACTTGTGACAACGATTTTAGATTTCGTAAAGCTTGACATAACAAAAATTTACAAAGCTTCTTCCATATTTCGTACAATTTTTCAGGAGACCAACGTTCGTCATAAGTTTTTCATGCTAATCAAGGAACACAACCAGACCATATTTTCAGGAAGCTCGGAGAATATACAGTAGTACCAAAGAAATGTATTTGTGTATTAAACGCTAGTTCGAAATTTTAGTAAAGTAAAAGCGACGAAATTTAGTCTGTTGTGAGAGCAAAAAAATGTAAGATTCTTGAATTATTGTTCCTTGTTCCTTCCATTTCCTCGCAGATTTGGGCCCTCTCTAGCAATTCCTATATGTAGTTATAATTTTTATTTAGCATTTTAAAAGTTTTGCTTTGCGATTGATTTTAAACATTTCCCTGATAACCATTCATTACAGAATGCTAATAACTGGATACTCGATCGAAAGTTACCTTAAATTTTATGGAGGCTTCAACTTCAGAATTCACTTAGTGCAGCATTCGCTTTCTGCGAGAAAGTTCTTTTTACTCATGGTTTTAAATCTGATACTACACGTTTGAATAGTGTTCAATAGTTGAATTATATCATTTTTTACATTAAGACCATCTTTTAGGAAAGGCTTTGCTAGGTACTTATTACAAGTTATCTTAATTGGTAAACCTTAGAATCCCCTGTTACCTTAATTTCCAGTTTTAATTTTTTCCAAAACATTTTTCGGATCTTCTTTTGAACGGAAGGACAACTCCTATTTACAAGTCATCGTTCTATTTATTTTTTTTCATGTCGTTTTTTGCCGCAAAGGTTTTCCTGCATTGACTTGGCCCAGTCTATAATAAACGATAAGAATGGCTTCTATGTCGTTTGGAAACGCTTTATTAATTCCTTGATGTAAACTTTTATTATCCAATCATTGTCGGTAGATGTTGCACCACTAACCTCTTCTACGTTGAACACGAACTTGACAGTTAAGTTAAGGGGACCGCCCTAGCATACGAAAACTTCTACAGTTATTATCCGATTGTCATGAAACTTCACATACATACGTAAAATGTAAAAAAAAAATTTTGCTCCTATGAATTTTTCAAAAAAATTGATAGAAAACGTGAAATTCATAGAAAACGGCTAAAAAGGGGTACTTTAGAAAATCTATCTCCTCCCACAAATATCATCCTACAACATCGAGACACGTATCAATCGATTCGTAAAGACCATATCTATTGACTCTAACATCACTTTTTCCATTTTCCATCTAGTTTTTTTTATTGCGTTTTTTTCTATTTTTCTCATTTTTCACCCCTCCCCCCCCTTCTCCCCCATATAAAAAACGAACCAGACCGAAATTCAAAAAAGTGATGTTAGAGTCGATAGGCCTGGTCTTTACAAATCGAATGGTATATGTCTCATTGCTGTAGCTTGAAAACTGTAGGAGGAGATAGATTTGCCGTGAGATTGTACCACCAATCGATGCGTAAGAAAGTGCTCTTTCAAACAAGACTATGCCCCTTTAGTGCCATGATTGGCTGCTTAATGCCAGGCCTTCCTTTGTGGAGTGACCAGCGCGTCATTTATCCTCGTAGAGTTTTGTTAAGGGACCTAAAACCCGCCTCCCTTTGAGGAGCTGTCACAAAGTCATTTTTCGACGTACAGGGACGATACTTATACCGTTCGATGCGCAAGAAAACAACCTTTAAGATGAGATAAGAAACAGAAAAACTCAAAATTTTCAAATTTTAGCTAGGGCGGTCCCCTTAACGCTAGTTTTGGGGAAAGTTTTGCTTAGTTTTAGTTTTTGCTTTTTAGTTTTTTAGGGAAAGTTTTGCTAGTTGAGAGTTTTTGTCGACAAGGAGCTGAAATTTGCTTAGGATATTGAAACGCAAGCTAATAAATCAAACAGCATGTTGAAACGCAAGCTAATAAAGTAATAAATCAAACAAACTTTTTGGACTGATCACATGCGCTTACGAGTTCCTATATGCAGAAGCGATGTATTAAGCTGTTGTTCGTTGCTGTCGTGCCCCCGAACCTAGAGTTTGGAAACGCAGTCTGATCACCGAAACTTGAAAAGGAGAAAAATTGAGTAGAGAGTGGTCAAAGACTTGCAACAAGGATAATTCCAGGCTTGAAGAGCTGGTCCTGTGAAGAGAGATTATGAAGCTTCCAAGCCTCTTGTTATCGACGTCTGCGTGGGGACCTCGTTGAAATATGCAAGTACACTCTAACGGTTGATGTTAAGGGCACACCAGGGGCCACGGCTATTAACTAAAAAAACTGGGCTGAAACGCATCCACGCGACATTTCTTCTCGCTTCGAATAACCGACATGTGGAACAGCCTCCCGTTTACATCTTTGACGCTCCGAGTATAAACTTGTCAAGAACAGACTAGACAAAGCTATGGAGAATTATATGTTCAGATTTGAATTGCCTAGCACCATATCGAACTCGATGGAAGTCTAGAAGCTATTTCAAGCTATCGTCAGTTTGAAAAGATCCGGTCGAAGGACCCATTTTTATACCTCCTGTGGACAAGTCATGAAAAGTACAAGAATCGGCGACAGGCCACATCTGGCATATTCTTCGGCGCCGACATTACTATGCTTTGCTAATCCGCAGTTTTGCGACTCTTAACGTACACAAAATCAATGTTTAACCTCATCCAGACCGAATAAATCTCGTATACAATTCTCTCTTTGGTTAAGTTGATCTCGTCAGTTTAAAAGACTCCAGTTACACGGGGCTTATTATATTGTTAAAAATGAATTATATGCGTTTACTGCATTCATGTGGTATTCAAATATTCATTTTATATTGAGGTTGTTTTATTTGAAGTAGAAAAACGTCAACTCGTGGAACCTCGATTCTTCTTTCTGCTACGGAAACTCGCGATTAGGAACGAATTTATGGTTTTGGTAGCCTAGTTCACTCTGACAGCATCTAGCGTAGGCGGTTCTATAGCTGACAACGTCGGCGGCAGTCAGGCACACCGATCGAGATGGCGAACTGAATTGGGAGGAACAGGAAATTTACTCATCTCATGCTTCGAATTATTGATCGAAACGGCAATTCGATTAAACTAACGACCTCAAAAAGGGAAAGTTTTGCTAGCTGACGTTATTACTTAGCCAATACGACTAAAGGAATAAATAAGCCTGATTGTTCCATGGGCCATTCCAAGATCAGAAGCACATTTTTTTTTTGCAAAATCTGACGTCGAAGACAAGCTTTAGGGTTCAATTGAACTATCTTCCACCGAAATAAACCCCGCAGAGCGAACTTTTGATTTACTCACTTGGGGCTGGACTAACCCTCGTAACACTCGCTCAGCTATACATAGCAACAGATTCCTCGTTGAATTTTACAAGGAAATCAGTCTGATTGACTTACGGAGTTACAAAATTCTTAATAAATTTGATAGCCTGAACAACCTTATGGTTTATACGCACAATTACCTCCAATTAATAATTAAATTCATTGAGTCTTTTCCAGACATCTATCTGCAGCAATTCAGAGCAGCTAATAAATTGCGATCGATATTTTACAGCATTACTGGTAATTTATTGGTTTAGCACTTTAGCTGGGCGGAAGTTGTTCTTTCATATAATTTCGATCGAGGACCAGAGAATGCTAATTTATTTTAAACGAATATAGGTTTTTTAATATTATCTATTTATTCAAATGGTAAAGGGACGATTCATATCAATTTACCTTAAAATTTACGAATTAACGTTTTGCCTTTCAAATGTTATGAGGTATGATCGTGCGGTTTGAAACTGATCCATCATACGTTTCTTATGAATGCTATCTTTTCAATGGGTTCAGAATACCTTCAGTAAAGAAAATAGAATTTCGTAATATTTA